AATTTCATTAATAACATCAGTAAAAAGCCACATTAATTCTGTAATCAAATTAATATTTCGACTTTCTATTTTCTTATGAACATACAGAAACTGAAAAACGCAAAAACTAGCAAGCAAAACAAACTAAAAATCACATTTTTGGGGTCATGTATCATATATTTAAATTATATTATAAAAAAATACAACCAAAGTATAATGTATCTGGGTCTTGTTAAATTGTGCATGGAAGATGATTTGAAGCCAATGGATAGAGAACAACTTAGGGAGTGTGCTCACAAGATGGTAGACTTCGTTTCTGATTACTACAATTTGAAGCTAAGGTACAGGCAGCAAAGCACCAACGGATCTGATTTGGTTCATTGGTTTAGTGGACGAGTGTTTTGTAAGTTTGGTTTCCAATTTTTAATTTTAATGTGCAGTGTTAGAGTTAGGTTACTGAGTTAAGGGTTTATTAGTAATGTTAATTGGACCAGAATTTTAGGAAAGCGCAATTGTCTAAATTGCCCAATTAATTTTGGGAAAGACTAATGGAAAGCTCAATTGCCCAATTAATTTTTTTTAACGGGTAATCGGTTCAGGGTGGGCACTATCGCTAAATACCATAACCTCCCCACCCCGAACCGGGTCATTAAAATCAAAACCATAACCGCCCCATTGCACCATCGGTTCGATTTTTTTCTCTCCATTTGGTTCGGTTAACCGCGGTTTTCGATTTTAACAGTTCGAATTGCCATCCCTAATAATAAATAAATAAATAAATAAATTTATCTATTATCTTATTCAATACTCATTAATCGAGCTTACAAAGAATAAAGTGCATTTAAGATAACATGAAAAAGTTATACTACATTTCTTATGGGAATGACAGTAAACTTCTCACCTAAAATGCACCAATGTAATTAGAGTTACACTACCCACTCATACTTTTTAGGTTCCTTTTACTTTTTAGGCATTTTATTTTATTTCTTATTATTATTATTATTATTATTATTTTTTTTTTTAA